CCCCAAAACCCCAAAACCCCAAAACCCCAAAACCCCAGTATTCAGAAAAACAATAGAATAAATAATTAAAACCTCCAAAATGAAGAGTTTCATTATACTGCTGATATTTATTGCTCTTGTAGCATCCAATCAGTGCAAAGACAAGGACCAAGAAATGGGAGCATCTTTAAGTGCTAGTTTCTGCGTCAGTGGAGCAACTTCTTGTAATGCAATGAAAATATTAGATGATAGTCAGAAAGATTTGCTCTACATTGTCGGATTTTATATTGTTGGGTCCTCATCAAGTAAGACATTTGTGTATAAGACAGACTATGAGTTTCAAAAGCTCAAGGTAGCGACCTATCCCTTCTCTCCACAATTTCGTTCACCACAGATTTCTCTCGATGGAGATTTCATTTATATCCAAGCGATTAGTCGTAATTAAGACACTCGAGATTAGTACTGCAACTCTGGAGACTACTAGGGAACTGATTGTGAGTGGTTCTAAGTTCGCTTACAGAGGAAACATGATTATTCGTAATTACTTCTACTTAAGTTTTCACAATAGTTCAATTACAGAAACTTGCAGATGGAACAAAGTATCGACTAATCTTGACTGATTAAGCTTTGGAGTTGGAAGTCATACTAACTTCATACCAATTAATGATGAAATATTATTTTATGGTTCTTCAGACTCTTCTTTTGATCAGTACTATCTTATAGGCTATAATTTCTCAGACCCGTCAAATTTGGTTTGGAAGAAGAGTATTGATTGTCCAATCTCTAGCTGAAACCATAAGGATAGTCCTTCGATTCTCAGCAGAGATGGGAAGTCTATTTACACAATGATTCTGTATAATGAACACTTCTTATTTTATAAGCTAAATGCTACTGATGGGTCTCCTCTAAACCCAGGCTTCATTTGGAACGATAGCAATTATTATTCTAGCTATTCAATGGCTGAGTTTGAAGGTTTCGTTGTAGTTCAGATTAATAGTGCAGGGCTGACAAACAGGAAAAGGCTTATACTGGTGAATAAAGACAATGATAAGGTCTTGAAAGAATATGGATCTATTGGGTCGCAAGCTTACTTTGTAGGAAGGGCAAGTTATCAAGGAATAGAGGTTTTGTATCATGGTGGATATTATTCCCCTGGTCCAGCTGCTTTATTAGCAAGAACTTCAACAAATAATATTGACCAGCTCTCTGAATTTCAACAGGATACTCCTCTTTTCACACAAATCTCATCCAACTATCAAGTCTCTTCAACAACCTCAAGCCCTACCTTGACTTCTAGCACAAAGACTCTTATCATATCAAGTTCATCTACAGTGACAGCCACAGACATCACATCGACGACTACTCCTTCATTCACTACTTATGTTGCTCTATGGAATGATGACCATGTCCAGTCTGTTCAGAGCAACTCTTTGGTCAAAGTTGACTTCACTTGGGCCTGAGCCCAGCCTGTGAACTACACAGACATTTCGTTTAGCCTGGTACAAACTGGGTCTCATTCTATTCCGAAGTGGGTGCAAGCAAATGTGGTTAAGCAAGAACTGTACCTCAACATGACTCCCCAACTTTCTGAAGCAACTACTTACTACTTTTCGCTTAAGATTGTGTTCAGCAGTGAAGTCCACTACAAACAGTTTGAAATCACTGTCGAAGAGTGCAACATTCAACACTGCACAACTTGACAACTTGGAGACACAAGTTTGTGACAGATTTGAGAAGCCAATTTCCAAGTGTCTGAGAACCAACAGTCATGATCAGAGGCTCCAATCGCTGAAAAAGAAGTTGACGCCCAAATTGCCACAGCTTCAACTGCATTGGTAGCCTCAGGCGCAATCATTGCAAGTGCCTCATCGTTGTTGTCACTATCATCGGTGAATTCGATCTTCAGTACCATGAACAGTCTGCAGCTTGCAATATTGATGCCTGCGGTCCCAGAGTATTTTCCACAGAAAGTGTCTGATCTGATCAATGGAATGGGGTTCTCAACATTCTCGTTCGACTTTATGAGTCTCAGAAGTATTCCTTTTGTTGAAGCTGTTTCGAACTGGATCTCATATCCACAAACAAATGAGTACTTATTGACACTCGGGATGAGCTCAGGTAGCTCATTGGTGAACTTGCTGTCAATTTTAGGAACTATTATTCTGATCTGAATCACCCATTTCTGCATAACTATATTATACAAATGAGGGAGCAAGTCTGAGAGCAAGAGATGCACAAAAATGTGCAAGAAACTATTTCGCTATTTCACATTCAACATATACATCAGGATACTTATTCAATCATTTATGTTCATTTCACTGTGAATTCTGTCTGAGCTACATGCTCAGAAACTTCAAACAACTCTGACTCAAGTTTCTTTTGCCATTTGAATTTTGTTTGGAGTGTTATGAATACTTTTTGTGGTGTCTTCTCTTTGCATGTACTCGAAGTCATTCTCCAATGCTGAATCGCTAAAGTATCAATCATGCATGGAGTATTTCAATGGAGTCAAACCCACAAAGTTTGCGAAGCTCTACTCATGCTTGTTTATGTTATTGAGGGTGTTCTGAAGTTTCTTGGCAGCATGCGGCAAATCCACACTTGGTTCTCAAACACCCACATACTTCTATTTGTCGAACATTGGCTACTGACTGTACTTGCTGATTGTCAGGCCATTCACAAATCCTCAAGACAACCTCATAGAAATTGTCAATCAGACTCTGTTTTGTTGACTAGCAGTTCCGCTGATGTGATTGCGGTCTGAGTCAGACTGGACCCCGTTTTACGAACGCTATTACACTTCAGTTTTCATGGTATCTCCACTGATAGTGAGTTTTATTTGCTTGATGTTCTTGGCCAAAACAATACTCGTTTGCATCAGAAAGATGAAGCGAGCGAGACCATCCGCAAATGTTGCTCCGAAGAATGCCTGAGCTAACGGACAGCAAAATCATCAAGAGTCTGGACAAGATGTCCAAGATGCTCAAGAATTTGATGAATTCAGACAAAATCACGAAGAGAGAAAACACAACTTTGAAGATGGCAACTCAGTGGTCGGCTCAAAGATCAGGTCAAATTCCAACATCAGCAAGAGTAACGCTGAAATAATGGACCCTCCAAGAACTTCAAAACTACAGGGGCTGGAGAAGTTTAGGAGAAACAAGGTAGACTTCCCAAACAAAGTTGAAGTTAAAAGAAGAGAGTATTAACGCTAATATTTTCTTATTTTTATCTCAATATATTACAACAAACTCGGGGTTTTGGGGTTTTGGGGTTTTGGGGTTTTGGGG